CTCACCAGCTAGTTTGAGTACGCCACTGCTGCCGACATGCATCGTGGGAGCTGTAGTCTTTCTGCACGCGCAACAACCCTGCTGGAGGTGTGCGTGAGCAGAGCACGAGGCGGCATGAGCTATCTCGTGAATTGGCGTCTGCCTCCTACGAACTACAGTTATGGCGACGTCACGCATGCGTGGAACGCTTGATGAGATCGGTCTATTCCGCCGCGACGAAGACGCTTCTTGGTCAGTGGTGTTGCGTTGGAGTATTCTTGGGTCCTACTAGTGCCAGGAAGCTGGTGTAAAGTAAGAAATATTCCTACGCAATGTCGTTGCATAGCCGCTTTAAAGGGTCCATGAAATAAATTTAGGGCTGGGATAAACGATTTTAGATTAGGACTTTACTAATCGCGTATCGTTTAGTGTTTGAAAAGAAAGAGGGTAGGAAGTCAAAAGACAGCCTTTGCAGCTTTTCGGTACGAACATTTGAAAATATAGCAGATTATTTCGTATCACCTTTCCTTGGAAAGCTCTCCGCCTTTTTCAATGTGATACATCCGCAATACCCAAAACATGTCAGCCGACCCCAAAAGTTAAAACACGCCAGTCGACCCCAGCTCACGCACGAGCACTGCGCCACTTGGACGTAGTGCTCGTCAACCATCAATCCGTCGACGGATATTAGGATTCGCGTTCGTGGCCAATGAGTGCACTGACGGAACTTATCATCACTTAAGGGCGTCAAATTCCATAATGGCGCTTAAAAAACATGGTGGAAAATTGGAGTCATTGTGATTTCTCAATTCGCTTTTGAGTTGAGAATTAAAGCTATCGGCAACGTGCACGATCGAAAGCGTCGCTGTGATTGGCCTTCCGCGATTGGTCGAATGCTGACTGTGACGTCAACAAAGGATTTATCTTCGATGGAAATAACAGGGATGGAAGAACTTCAATTTTGCTGGTGTTGGCGGCGTTGGTTTCACAGCGCAATGATTTTAAGCTTCCGCCATGCTCATTACCAACACCATCGAACATGTCGTGCGCAAGGTAATGACGTCACGAGGAGGCACTATAGGAGGGCACCACCAAAACATCTCGCCGCTAATAAGGAGGAAGAAGTTGAAAAATCGTTTCATGGCCCCTTTGGAGGCCTGCTCACACATACATCGCAACGCTATAAGCACAGCACTGACCTGGCGCTAAGCGCGTGTTGACGGGAACGTTGACCAGATTTGTCTCGCACCATCAAAGCTTTTGCTCGTGGCAGACGATAGCTGATGAAACGTGATTATTTCCTTAGTTTTGCGCGTAACATTATTTAGAAAGTCTGGGTAAACCTTCGGGCCATCGCCGTGACTTTAAGAAAGGTTATGTATGATGTAAGCGCGAGTTCATTCGAGGAACATATTCATTCATGGAACAGAAAGTGCAACTTAGACTATTAACTACGATGCGCAGGATGGAGGCGGAACATGTCTACTGATTTCATGTTGCAACAGATTATAGTCTCGACAACGCAGCAGAAAAGAAGTTTACGCCGATGATAGACAATTCCAGAAACTGTACATCGTGCGTTTCGCGCGCGCTTTGCTGAGCTTAAATTCCAATTGATTTACAAACCAGCTGAGTCTACGGACCCGGGTTCAGCGATAGTATTGGTAAGCAGCTGCTTGTTGCATGAATGTTGATGCTTAGTTTTACTCTGCAATAGGGCAACAGAAAACAGCTATACAAATCCTCCAAATCCGCTGACGAGCCACTTGGAGTCAATTGCAAACCGTTCGGCCGCTTAGACATCAAAAAAAGCTCACTGATAGGTACGTCGGCGAAATATAAAACATTTCCCTGTTGACAAAAAGGAGCAGCTCTAAAGACCGAAGATATACCGTTTGGCGTTACGAGATTGTAGTGCCTTGTCAAGCGAAGGAAGTACGCACGAAGCACTCCAACATCCAAAATTGCAGCTCCGAAGAATCCTTCTGTGAAGTGGTTCATAATAAGTGGTTTGTAATTGGCTCACGTTGGACCTGGAGGCCCTTAGCTTTGCCTGTGATCCATAGTACGGTGTGATAACGTGTATCCAGCGGAATGTCAGGCTCCCCCAAGTGGCGTTTTGTATCTGGTGTACAGACGAGCAATGCGCCAGTACGAGGGCTAGCCTGGGGTCTTATATAACGCGCATCAGGGAGCAATCGCTTACTGAACACACTCGGTACTTTGCTCATCCAGATGGAAACGGGCAGGAGCGGGGATGGCGTGCAAGAGATCTGTGCGGCGCGGTGTTGGAAGTTACTTTCGTTGTCCATGCTATGTATGTTTTAGCCAGGGCACCACGCGGCGAAAATGCTGCGCCCAAGCGACGAAATTCATCCGTCGGCGTTCATCATCATCAGGCCGTCATGAGGACATTGACTTTTGACGACGCGCAGACGGAACGGACCGCCGGCCAAGTTCGCCACTTGTGCGCCGCGTACCGCTCTGTGCAATTCATCCTTCAGATGGTTATACGCGCTCATTATGATCCATCGCATAGCCAAAAAATGTCTTCGTATTTTTTTTTTTTTTTTGCGTGCTACGCAAGAGTGAAGCAAACAGGGCTACTAGCTTTTCGGCGCTACTCGGAAACTCGTCGCCGTAATCGTTCCTGAACGGCGGGCTACCGCTGCCCGCGTCCCTCAAATTACGCCGGGCGTCGGGGACGCGGGAGTCGAGACGGTCCCCACCGCTTAGCCCTAGTGACCCCTCAAATGAGGCGGGAGGCCCACACCTGGTGACGAAGCGCAAAGCGCACCACACGAGAGCCTTCCGTCCCCGAGAGGCCGAAGGTAGACGGAGCCAGATGTGGGCCCCAAAACAGGGTTTTTCTCACGCGCTACCGCGAGGATAATAAGCCACGAGCGGGTCGGCTGTCTCCCTGGTCGGCTCCATCCATCACGGCCTTCTGCGCGGAGGTTACACGAGGCGCCAAAGAGTGGAGCCTCCTCGGGAGACGCGCGATCGAACTCCTCGGCGAGAACAGCTGGCGTTGCAGGGCGGCCGCTGCCTCCCGCCGACGAGCGCCTGTGGCTGTGCGGCTCACGGCGAACCTTTGTCCGCGGCGGGTGTCGGGCATTATGATTAACTCCGGTGGGAGGGACGCTGCTCTGGGAGCGGGCCGCTCGGCCTGCACTTGGCCTAGCCGAGAAACTTCCGTACCTACGGAACAAGGGCCGCATCGCGACTGCGCATTGCGCGCTGGAAGTGAAGTAACACATATACCGCACAACAACAAAGACTTCCACAGTAACCGGAGACACGAAACGATAAAAAAAACTGACAAAACAAGTCTCAAGTTGTTGTTTTGTCCGTTTCTTTATCGTTCCGTGTCTCCGGTTACTATGGAAGTTCTTCACCAGCTCGCCTGTGTTTTTACCCGTTCTTCAAGGACAAGGAGTCGGAAACGGGAGTTCCGTCCAAAATAGATCGAATATAAAAACTGCCTATTTTTTCTTTCGCTATTTTGTTTTCTTCTCCGGTATAGCTTGCTAACATACAGAGTTTGGTAGGTCGTACGCGGCGGTTTGCGGGCCCTGCTCGTGAAGAAATGAAGGCGGTCGATCGGTAAAGCGGGCGCTTACCTTTCACCGAACCGTCAGCTACCTGGTGAACGGAGTACAGCAACACAAACCTGCTGCGTACAATCTACAAAATATCCCTACCAGCATCCAAACGCGTCACAGCCGTTGAACGCTACGCACGGATTGAACACGGATCACCTTTAAAGGCCCGTTCACACACTTGCGACTTCTTGGGAATTAGAAACCTGTTAAAAACCGGTTTTTAAGTCTTTCATGGTGGCTTTCTACCGGCTCCGGAGCAGCGCAGTTGGTCGTAAGCCGTCACGAGAGGTTTAAAAACCGGTCGCGTCGAAGTCGGTCGTAATCGAACGCAAGTGTGTGAACGGGCCTTTAGGTTTTCGCTATGTACCAGTCCAGTGGTTCTCAACCACTTATGTTTCGCGGACCTCTTGTGGGTCGGCAGACCCTCCCCGATCGTGATGAGGGGAAGAAAAAGGTATGGCCCGCCATCGCGAGTTCTCGTCAATGAGGCTATCAGTCATTTTCCGCAAAGTTGACAAGTCCGGCTGTATCACGTGCCTTGACGAGGCTTTAGATTCGGCCACGGTCAGCGCTTTTATCAATACCTGTGATTTTGTTCTCGATTCATTCCCTGCTTAGTGTCATTTGCGGTGCTGATTAAATTCGAATGGACTTTTACCCGCTGAATTTGCAGTTTGTGGAGATTTTCAAGGAAACAAATTTTGTCAATATTTGACAAAACGAGGTAGACATATCTACGCATGCCCGCGGGTGATCTTAGGGTTCTCGTTCTCACTTCTCCATTTTTTTTTTTATGGGAGGCTCCACCAGCGTTCCCAATCCTTATCGAGCGACATTTGAAAAAGCTTGAGACAAGCTCCTCATGCAGGAGACTGCCTGTCTCCGTCATAAGTGTAACCGCCAAATAAACAAATACGTACGCCCTCCCCCTCCCTTCGCCCCCTCCTTCTTTTTTTTTTCGGTGCATGTACATGTGCCGTATTGAAGCCGTACAACTGAATACGCGTGAAGTCTCCTTTCCATTCCAGAAAATGCGTTTTCACTAAAAGGGAAACAGTAAACGCGGATTTTTATATTTCCGCCATCAAAGGCGCGAGGATTAAAACATAATCTCGTACGAGGACACCATAACCTTTCTGCGAATGCTATTCAACGCAGCGCTATAGTTTGTGTACGAGTGTGCGAATGCGCCCCTTATGATCTAGGATCGGGATAATGTCGATGTCGATGTGTCTCAAAGCTGTGTTAACACAGCTTTGAGCAATCTACGGATAACTATACTCAGGTGAATTGCATTGACCTCACATCAGCTGCCCTTATTGTTGTGGCTTCGCAGCGTTGGCGGACTGTCGGCCCCGTGTGAACTCGCGCGCTTTGAGGTTGCCGTCGCCTGATCCGTCGTCATCTTTCCCGCAGCCGCGCCATCCGGAGCAACCAGGACCTGCTGCCCAGTTCGCCGCTCGCCTCGCTGTTCCGCAACGACTTCTGGGGCACGCCGCTGACGCACAGCGGAAGCCACAAGTCGTACCGGCCGCTGTGCGTGCTCTCATTCCGGCTCAACTACCTGCTGGGCGGCTACGAGCCCCGGGGTTACCACCTGCTCAACGTGCTGCTGCACGCCGTCGCGTCGGCCCTGTTCACGGCCCTGGCGTCGCGGTTGTTCCTGCGACAGTGGCGGCCCACGCTGCTGGCGGGGCTGCTGTTCGCCTCCCACCCCGTTCACACCGAGGCCGTGGCCGGCATCGTGGGTCGCGCGGACGTGGGCGCCTGCCTCTTTTTCTTGGCCGCGCTGCTCTCGTACATGCAGTACTGCAAGTACCGGGATAAGGACCCCGGCGATGCCAGCTTCCAGCGCCGCTGGGTCCTCCTATACCTGTCGCTGGCGCTCGCCGGATGTTCCATGCTCACCAAGGAGCACGGCATCACCGTGCTGGCGGTGTGCGCCGTCTACGATGTCTTCATCAACCACAAAGTGGCACCCAGGGACCTGCCTTCTCTGCTTGTCAGCGTGAGTGGGCAACTGCCTGTTTCCCCGCTGGGTCGGCAAGGGGAAACAGTGTGTGGTGACACCTAAAACGGATGCAAAACGTAATTTTAAAAACCTCGCTTCCCAGGCTTCTTCGACCTGGAAACGAGGTTTACTGAGTAGAAAGATATGTGCACTGCGTGACAGCGACGCTGTGACGGACAAGGCAGCCGGTCCACGGCAGCGTGGCGCTAAGTCCTTTCATTAGCGTGGACCGAGGCCATGACCGTAATTTCGAGCTGGTATGTTCTGTTTCTGCTTTTGCTGCATGAGTATTCTGGGCATGACCAGCACCGCCAAAATTATGTGCTAGCGCCCACATACCCTCGTTTGCCCAAGCTCTATGTGGCGCATAGGACGATACCGTTACGGGGTGCATATGACGATACCTCAGAATCCTCTTGGCACTTGATCGTTTTGAGAATAAACATGACAAAAATGAAGGGTTTTGGAGATGAAGCTTAATTTTTTAAATCCTAATATTTTTAGGAATGGTCTTATTCTGCCTAAGACGGCACCAAGCGGAGCATTTATACCTGAGAAATGTGGTTTTCGTAGGAACTTGTTTCCTGACGAAGTCCGTGACGGGGCCAAAACCGAAGACACCGTCACTTGTCCGCGTATAAAGTCTGTTTTATGAATGTACCGCTATTTGTCCGCAGAGAAAGTCCGTCTTGTGAATACACCATTACTTGTCCGCGGAAAAACTCCGTCTTGTGAATACACCATTACTTGTCCGCGGACAAACTCCGTCTTGTGAATACACCGTTACTTGTCCGCAGACAGACAAATTCCGGCCTCTTAGTACCCCGTTATTTGTCCGCAGACAAAGTCTGTCTTGCAAATACACCTTTGCTTGTCCGCAGACAAAGTTCGGCTTGCGAATACAGCCTTACTTGTCCGCAGGCAAAGTCCGCCTTCTGAATACACCGTTACTTCTACGCAGACAGACAAATTCCGGCGTGTTAGTGCCCCGTTATTTGTCCGCAGACAAAGTCTGTCTTGGAAATGCACCTTTGCTTGTCCGCAGACAAAGTTAGGCTTGCGAATACAGCCTTACCTGTCCGCAGGAAAAATCCGCCTTGTGAATACACCGTTGCTTCTACGCAGGCAGACAAATTCCGGCGTGTTAGTACCCCGTTATTTGTCCGCAGACAAAGGCTGTCTTGTAAATGCACCCTTGCTTGTCCGCATACAAAGTTCGGCTTGCGAATACAGCCTTACTTGTCCGCAGACGAAGTCCGCCTTGTGAATACACCGTTGCTCCTACGCAGACAAACAAATTCCGGCCTTTTAGTACCCCGTTATTTGTCCGCAGACAAAGGCTGTCTTGGAAATGCGCCCTTGCTTGTCCGCAGACAAATTTCGGCTTGCGAATACAGCCTTACTTGTGCGCCGACAAAGTCCGTTTTGTGAATACACCGTTACCTGTGCGCGGACAACATCCGTCATTTAAATACACTTTTACCTTTCAACGGCTTACTCCGTGAGAGCCATATTTGATCTCGTTCTCGCGTTGGCCAAACTAGTACCGCAGGTATCTTCAACACATTCCTGTCCCGAAGTTCAGGTCACTGCAAAGATTAGTAGAATTATTTTTATTTCGGCTGAGGACTTTGTTCATCCCCCGCAACAGGGTAGACACGAACGAACTCTCTTGTTTCTTGCAACCGAAAATTCACGGAAGGGCCCTAGCGATGAGAGACGTGCGCAATGTCCGTGCAGAAGCGCCACCCGGGCCTGTGGGAAGGCCTGCTGCACCTGTGCTTCGCGGGTGTCACGCTGGTGGGACTCCGGCTGCACCTGATGGGCGCCCGGGCGCCGGACTTCGCACCCGCCGACAACCCCGCTGCGGACAGCGAGAGCGTGCTTACGCGCTCACTCACCTTCCTCTACCTGCCGGTGTTCAACCTGTGGCTCCTGCTGTGCCCGCGCTGGCTGAGCTTCGACTGGTCCATGGAGGCCATCCCGCTGGTGCAGAGCCCGACGGACCCGCGCAACCTTGCCACGGCCGCCTTCTACGCGACGCTGTTCCAGCTCATGTCGCACCTGGTGCGCCTGGCCAACTGGAGGCGCGCCGCGCTGCCCTGCAGCTGCGCTTTCCCGCAGAAGCCTCAGCCACCACCTTCCCTGCTCGCTTTGTCCAACGGCGCCAGGCCCGGCGCCATCGGCAAGCGCTTGTACAACATCAACAACAACAATAACAACAACAACGGCAGCAGCAACGGTGCCAACGGCTACCACAACGGCACGTCGTTCCTGGCGTCCCCCTGGAACTGTGGCGCCTGCTCGTCGTCGTCGTCGTCGGCGTCCTCTGCGTCGTCCGAGTGCTCCGAGTCGAGCTGCGCCGTGGGCGGCTCGCTGTCCAACCAGCACCTGGACGCCACCGTCTTGGCGCTGGCCATGCTGGTGCTGCCCTTCGTGCCGGCCACGAACCTCTTCTTCTACGTGGGCTTCGTGGTGGCCGAGCGTGTGCTGTACGTGCCCTCGATGGGCTTCTGTCTACTCGTGGCCGTCGGGGCGGACCAGCTGTGCGCGGGGGCCAGGCGCAGGGCCCAGGGGGACTCGGCGCTGCGCAGGCTCGTGCTGGCGGCCTGCGTGGCGCTCCTGCTGCTCCTGTCGCTGCGCACTGTGCGCAGGAACCGCGACTGGCTCACGGAGGAGGACCTGTACCGCTCGGGAATCGACGTCAACCCGCCCAAATGTGAGTCTCGTTCATGGCCGGCGTCTGTTGCGTCGCCGAGTTAACGCGAGATTGCTGACTGAGGACCCCGCGGGCCGTCCCATCGCTGCGCGCCGTTCCGAGAAGGCTCGCCAGATTAGGTATCAAGCGGACAATCTGTCATCGCCTGCTTGAATGTAAGGCAGGAAATAGAACAGTTGCATTGCGAGAGAAATATTCACCACTGGGTGTTAGACGAGGGACCGCACCGGAAATCTAAAATAACTGCACGTTAAATTTAAACGCTTTAAATTAACGTATGGAAGCTTTTGGCAGGGACTAAGCCTGCTCAACTTATTGGACGAAAGACGAAAATACTTCTACAGCTTTACAGCATATATTGTCGATTTTAGTACAGAAAAATAAAGACTTTCATTGCATAAAATCTTTAATGAAATGGCGATTTTCTGACAATAGTCATTGATTTCTTTCGATATCTGTTTCCTGTCCATAGATTCTGCTAGAACTTCAGAATTTATATAATTGGAAAAACACCCTTTCCAGCTTATCCACTGTTTCAAATATGTTTCAAGCCATCGTGAAATAATAAGGCAATATTTAGTCTCGCACTCACGCATGCTGACTGGAGGACGGGCGTTATGCGCAAACAAACCGGGGGGTTATCTACGTTTTTCGGCGAGTACCCGCAATGGAACCCCCCGTATGTGGATTAAAATGGCCCTCTTTTGACATGTATAGCGGATAGGAGGCTAATGTACAACGTGCGGCACAGTTGTCGTTGCGATTTCCGTGGGTCAATCACTCAATGGATGAGAATTTGAAGTGGAATTACGATGTTCAAGGCCTCACTTTGTCAAGTAAAGACTGGTTCATACCGGGGTAGTTACATATGTAACATATGTAATATGTACATGTAAAATCTTTCCTGCGCGAAGCTGCTCTCGTCACAGAATATCGTTTTTTCGATGCTCCTTTTCACAATTTTGAGAGTGATTGCAGCTCCTCTGTCTATTTGTTTGTGCATTCCGGTTATACACACTGTCTTCGAACTGGGCGTTAACGTTTTCTTACGATATCAAGACAGGAAAATGCACGAGAAGTGTGACAATCTGTCTTTTGAGAGGTTTTGTTTCCTCTAGCTTAATTCCACCAATAACGCACTTACGTACTAAAACGTAAAACTAAAAAAAAAAAAAAAAAAAAAAAAACTGATGGCGCATTGGGACAGGGGTACAACTTTTGACAGAACTTGAGGATTCGGTTCGGACATGTATGCAAAGTACACTCGTTTGGGTTGAATGCGGACGACAAAACCGTTCTCGCTTTGAGAGAAATTATAAATAAATGCAGGCGCTTCGCTCGCGTCTGCTCTCCTCGATGTTGCACCATACTTCCCGGAACATGGTCTCTCCTCTCGCTTCACTGGTCCTTTTCCTTCCAGTTTGATCCATCACATCTCGTGGGTTTTGTTTTGTGCGATGGTGCGTCCTTAGCGGGACCATAATACTGCGTGAACACGTTACATAATCATAACGTAGCTTTGAAAAAAAAAAAAAAAAAGTCGGTAGTTGCTGAAACAGAGAAAGTTTAGTCGGTCAGGGTAAGCCGATATCGTTGCCCACTGAAAATTATAAATTTAATTAGTGCAGTAATAGTTCTAACCTAGTATATTTAACGTGCTTTACGCAGTAGTGATACGGAACCGTACGCCGGTACGACGCTCATTGAAATCGAGACGGGCAGGAGTGAAGATTAAACTCAGGATCCCTCGGTTCTGTAGCGCGAGCTTTCGCTCAACTTTGCTCCGAGCTGCGGCGCGTTAACACATTTGCCCGGCGATCCGGTTTGTGAAATGTGTTTACGCATAATCATTCAGAAATCAGCCAACTTCCGCAGAAAAAGATATCGTCCATTTTGCCCGCTATCGTGCCAAAGGCACTGCTGGTGCCACCCTTTCTCCAGCTGCGGCAACTCTGGCATTATAAGAGCTCTTCATGGTGCCGGAGTCATATGTCCAAACGGGGCATATCGAGTGAAAGTTGCTCTGCGCCCGACCGTTTTCAGCTTGGACATGAATTACGCAAACAACGTGGCTTTCCTCCTCGGCGTTTTGTGGCGTCGGTCCGCAAGTGGTCCCTGGGTCGCCGAGTATCTGAGGCAACGAAGTCAGTTTGTCGTTGTAAGTGGCTCACCGTCGTCTGCTGTGCAAGTCACATCTGGTGTACCGCAGGGGTCGATCCTGGGGCCACTTTTGTTTTTATTGTACATTAACGATATCACCGAAGGAGTAGTGTCGCAGATGAGACTTTTCACAGGTGACTGCGTTTTATATGGGGCCATCGCTTGTCTTGAGGATGCTAATATCACACAGCGGGATCTTAACCGCATTAACGAGTGGTGCCTGAAATGACGTATGCAGTTAAATTTAGGGAAAACTGTTTTTATGTCATGCACAAGGAAAAAAAAAAACGTACGCTGCTTCTTTTGCCATAAATAACAATATCTTATCAACAGTGTTAGAATATCAATATATCGGGGTAAATTACACGACTGACTGGTAAAACATTGGGGTTCCTGAGCCGTAATGAAAGAAACTTCAATAAAGACACTCGGGAATTGCTCTATAAAACATACGTCAGGTCAGTTATGGAATACGCCTGTGTCGTCTGGGACCCGCCTGCAGCACGTGTCAAAATAAAACTAGAAAGACTGCAGAACTTTGCCGCTCGGTTTGTTACTGGGAACTATAGTAGAGATTTCATCGCGACACGCACAAACGATATTTTAAAATGGCAGTTACTCGAAACTCGCAGAAGAAGACTTCGTTTGAAGTTGTTTCATAGCATTTACCATTCGACAGTTGGCACACAAAGAGACATGTATATAATGCGGCCCACTATCAATCGGAGCGTGTTGACCATATTTTCAAAGTGCGAGAAATTTCGTTCAAAACAGGTATTTAGGATGTCCTTCTTTGCAAGACCTATCTATGAGTGGAATCGATTGCCTCAGTCTCTGGTTGGTGTAATGTCAAACGATGACTTTTATTAAATCTAGCTGGAGTTCTTTATATTACCTCGCATTCTTTCGCGTGGTTTATCAGCTATGTTTATATGTATTGTTTATAAGTTTCTATTTCCTTGTATGGTTTATAAGGTTTATGTGTTGTTTGAATGATTCATCTGCCGTTAAGCAGAGGTCTCACTGGCACTGTATTTTTTTTATGTATATTCCCCCCCCCCCCCCCCCTTGTAATGCCTGATTTGGCGCTGTGGGTATTGCATAAATAAATGTGCCGCAAGAAGCCGTCCTGGTGTGTCCTGTTTCAACAGCCCCTGACGCCTTTAACGATACGTACCGGTATGCAAAAGATTAGAGTGCTTCAACAGTGAGGCACCCTAGAGAATATGAAAGAAAAGTCGCGCCGCCCGACGGCTCCCTCGTGAACGGCACATTCAGAAAGCGCAATAAAATGAAAAAGGAAGAAAAATGGGCGTTCGCATTTGGCAGGTACGCGTACGTGGAAAGCCTGGAGTTTTAGTGCGCGCTAGAAGTGGGGCACTTCGCTAACGTCTCTGCGTTTTCCAAAGCTATCTGACCCCGCGAAGTAACTCAAATATTCTCGAGCAACACGTTTGGCTTGCATTCGAGTTCGATCAGTCAGAAAACAAACGCCGTGTCAGCATTCGGCCGGGAATCGGGTTTTCTGCTTCCGTTTCAGGAGTGCGGATGCTTTGAGGTGCCAGCCACATATAACAGATTTTCTGCTAAAAAAAAAAATAAAAAAATTACTTTCTGTTTTGATTTAGCTGTGGCAGTAACATTCATCTTTAGTTCAGCGTCTTATTGGTTTTATAGCAGAATAATAAAAATGTGCCCATTAAATCGGTTGACAGCTAGCATTTGCTGACGGAAAAGGAATAATAAAGGCAAGTTCGATGGACCAATACGACATGTGTCTCTTGCACGGTAGCCGAACTGTGCAGACGATGTATCGACGTCAAAACTGCCAGATATCTGAAGCGATCGTGCAAACCTTGCGGAGCGCGGAAAAAGAGAAAAAGAAAAACATGTTGACAAATAACTTGTTTCGTCGTTCTAAGGTGATCGGTTACGTATTTCCGTTTGCGCTCCCGCAAATTGCGTACCTTTGACGCGGGATCGGGCAGTGGTTCTGTGGCGTCTCGCAATTTGTCACCGCGCCTTTCTAAACCCGGGACACGCTCGAACGGTCAGTCTCCGTCCTTCCTTGGCTTCGTGTGTTGGTCTGTCGCCGGGGACAGATCGAGAACGTCGAAGAACGAACAAGTCGGTTGCCCCTGCTAACCTTTCTCGGGGCGATCCCCAAGCGTGTCAAGGAACGTCCGAAAAACGCCTCGACAGCCGCCAGAGGGCGGAGAGGGCGGGCATCGCAACCCTCTGTCCGCCTTGCTCTCTCCTTCCTTCGTTTTCACTCGCGTGAGTCGGACAGTCGCCGCCGTCTATTTGCGTTTTCCCGCCCCGGGGCTCGGAGCGAAGAACACACAAGACGGAGCAAATTGTTATTCTATTTCCACTTGCCCGACGCCAGGTCCGATCTTTGCAGCGAGTTCTGTCGATAAGCGAGCCGCGTACGCGCGGAAGCAAACGGGAACGGAGGGACCCGCCGCTTCATCTTTGTTTGCCACTCGCGTTTGTCGGTTTGTCTGGCGCTGTTTTTTCTTGTCTGCTTTGTCGTTCCTCGGATCGGCGAGCGAACACACGCTCGCTCTGGTCCGGATGTGCGGATCGACGTCGGGAAAGCTTTTAGCCAATAGGCGCGATTTCTACGAAGACCGATCGCGCTCCAGGAAACAAAACACACCGAGGTGAGAGCCAAGTGCCTCACGCGCTCGTGCCTTCGCTCTTTTTTATACTCTTTTTATTCTTCTATCGATCGTTTTTCTCGTCCGTTCTGTTGTCTTTTTGTCGTTCGCATTTCCGGGAGATTTGGCGCTCTGATTTTCAGATGACGCAGAAATTGGACTGAAGCGTGCGAGCGGAGAGTGCGGCGAGAATATGATTAGTAAAAGGCTCGCGCCGTGCATTTGACTTTTCCTTCATTCCGCAAGGAACGGCGAAGAAACGTAGTGGAAGGAAGAATAAAAAGAACGGTGCTAGGAATTCTCGGGAAGCGACGGCTCCTGTCTTCGCCGTAATTTTTGGCCTGATTCCGGTCTTGTTCGATCGCGGAGCCTGGAAATTTATTTTTCCGCGCTCCAGAATCCCTTTGCCTCGTTTCCCACTTGGCACGCAAAGTCCGCTCCCACAAAAAAAAAAGAAAAAAAAAAAGGCGCGTTTGAATCGGTGTCGCGCATCTCGATCCCTGGCTCAGCTGGAAGCTTAACCGGGGATCGAGCACCGAAAAGAGCTCGAGCATCCGATAAATGCGACTAAGTCACACTGCCGGCTTTGCCTGTCTGTGGCGCTGCAACGACAGGGCGGTAACAACGCGACTGGAACGGTATCGAGCGCTATTACTAGGATTAAACTGGGTCGTCCGTAGTCCGTTATGCAGATGTTGCGGGCAGAATTTGTCGAGTGTTTTCTTTGTGGGGCTAGAGTCTGTTCGTTTGGCGTTCAACCCTTCGTGCACGTTTAATCACCTTTTGAGCTCTCGACAGCCGTCTACCCACTACACATAAAGCGAATTGCTGTGATCTACGTAGGAAGTTTAAAGAATGGGAGTGCAAAAAACTAAGGACGGTTTCATTCGAAATTGAGTCAACGTAATGACTCAGACCTAATATAAGTTACCCTATGAGCTTCCCCATATTTCTAGTTAAAAACCGCTAGGTGTACGCGATGATAATGCAATTAATACAGAGGTGCAAGCGAGCCAAACAAAAATGACAAGGTGCCGGTTTTTAGCGACTGATTTGGTCAAAATGCCAATGTCACCCTAAGGGCTGTTGAAACAAGAGGAGTTTTCTGCATTTTCTGCATTTGCTGTGCTGGAAGTGGAGGTTTTCCTCCGGTTCCGGACTGCTTTGGCACGTTTTCAGCCGGGGAAACAAAGGCTTCTTTCCGGTTGCCTCCTTGGGCACAGGCGTAGAGTGTGCACGTCAGTGCAGACAGCCACTGACGCGCTGTCCTGGCTGTCGTCAAGGCCTCCGCTGTTGTCGGTACCTCCAGGAAACAAGAAAGAGAAAGAGACGACGACGAGGAGGCGAGAAGGAAAGCAGTGCTGTTTGCCTGGTTAATTTCCAAACTGAAAATGAACGTGCGCTCGCAAGAACTTTCATGCTTTTTAGTTTTTTTTTTAAAGAAGTGTACGCCTTCTTTTTTTTTTTTTTTGCCTTGACGGCATTTGTTGTACCCTGTTTGGACAGCGCTTTATAGACCTTTTCCGCTTACTCTCGCCCCCGACCGCCAAGTAGGCACATCCGGTATGGGCGACGAAAAAATATCAAAGCGTTTGAACCTGCAAATAGTAAAAAAATAGAGGGGAGGCAAAGCGAGAATAGGTAACGGTTCCACTTATCTCCTAAATGCATTTTATTGGAGTTGCGACGGCAAAACAATGTTTTTGCCCATACTGGAAGTGACGACAATTCAAGAAGGCGGCGCCCTTGTGGAAAAGGTCTATAGATGTGTAATTGTCGCTTGATCCCCGGGAGTGGGAGAGAAGACCGAGGGGCCACAAATGTAACAGAAGAGTGTAGTGAAAAAAAAAGAAAAAGAAACAAACAGGAGAAGTTTACATAGACACGGTAGACAATTTATGCTGTGGATATGTGGACCATGTTGAATATACCTGAGACTGGGGTAGAAAAAATGTGTGGACGTTCACATTCTCGTTATTGCCGCTATTGCAATGCCTGGGTAAATCTCCGTTGAAGCCCTTTGCATTCCGTGGTGTGATTCAGAGGCGATCACACTCTAAAACTTCGTGTGTCGTGCATTCGCGTCATTAGAGGGCCATGCTTCAACCATCCGGTTCTCTGCCAGGTACAGTGATTTCTCGTTAGTAAGGACACCTCCCTTCCCCCCAAAAATCGTCCATAATGTGAGTTCTTCATAATAACGAGACGAAAAAGCATGTATTTTCCAAGCTTGTCCCCGATAAGGATATCCATATTAACGGGGTTTATATAAACGAAACGTGACTCTAGAAGACACGCCGCAATTTGTTTTAATGTGGCAGACGACTTAATAGAGGACTCGCGTGCAGAGTTTGATTGCACAGAGAGGGGATTGACATCGCTGACCCGAATAACTCCTCTAGCACTCTGCGAAACCTTTTTGGTAAACATGCTGGGATATATGTATTCAGAACCCTTTATTGAACGTTATTTGCGTGAGTAGCATCTTAAAACGGTCTGCCGAAAATGCAACCTTTATGTGAAAGTAATTTACACCATGAGTTTGTTTATAGGCGAGCTACTTAGAACAGATATTGTTGTGCGAAATTCACTCTGCCTGAAAAAACAAATGTGACCACTGTATGTAAAATGAATGTAAAAAAAGCGACTAGTAGGACGGAGTTTCCTCCCTCTTTTGATTCAGTCGAAGCTGGAATTAGAAAGGTGAGAGTCATCACGTGATTCTTGTTTGCAGCCTATGGCAACCTGGCGAACATCCTGAGCGCTCATGGCAAGAAGGCGGAGGCCGAATGGGCCTACAAGAAGGCGCTCACCTACCGCTCCAACATGGCGGACGTTCACTACAACCTGTAAGCAAACGCGACACCGACTTGAGCTCGCACCCTTTTTCAGCTGAGGGTAAAATATTTCGCAATGGGCTGGGGGCCTTTCGGAGTCTCCTATGATTGCTTATGACCTGCGATGCCTCAATTGTCGACCGAGGGCGCTCCGGGGGGCCTTGCTGCGCGTGTCTCTATTCTCTTACGCTACAAAACTTTTTTCTACCTTTGTTCTTAGATAGAATTCTCGCTACGACAAATTTATTAGGAATTTGTGTGGTTTTGTCAGTGGAAATTTCTATGTGCTGAACAGGGCCGGTAAAGAGGCCAGGCGTGCAATCGGAACAATCGTTTGCTCGCTACACAGGCCGCCAAACACGTTGCTGTCAATTGAGAATGAGCAACCGCAATCAGTATCTCCGCTGTTATTTGCACGCATAATTTGTGGACTTTCTTCCGCGTTTTCTGTGTGTCTGTAAGACTTCCCTGCCCGAACATAGTGTGTATGAGCTTCAGTGCCTAATACCAAAACGACTGTCACACGTTTGTGCTATTGTGTTTCAGATTGATCTTGTGGTTGGCTTTGTCTTTTTTACTGTATTGAAAGCTTGGGTTTTCGCAGGGGAATCCTCCTTCAAGAGCAAAACCGCCTTGAAGAAGCTCTACAGAGCTACAAGCTGGCGATACAGTTCAGGCCACGGCTGGCCAGTAAGTAAAATCGCACTTACCAAATTCTTGATATTCCTTAACCCCACAATTGCTTCGGAACAATTAGCATCTAGCGAGATATAACTGAAGTGTACAAAGTGAAACATTTAACAAGCTTTCCTTCCAGACTTTAGACAATAGAATTTAATAGACACTTTTCAGTCCATCAAGAAACATTGGTCATCGCCATTTCTTGGGCATGGAGCTCGTAATAGGATTTGAGCCCTTGCCGAACGCCGACGCAGCCCTCGAATTCAATACATGCTCAAGGCACGTGCCAAAGCAATGGTGGACAGGCGATGGCACGGACTTCTAAAATCGTATATTGCTGGACTGTGTATATCCTTGATCTTTTGGCGCGGGTGGGGTAGAAGCAAGGGGAAAGGTTATATCCCTTTACGTTCTCCCGCTTGCATAGCACTACCACGTCGGTCGCTTAATAAGAAAGTCAACACTCCCCGGTGACTATATGTGGGTGTTTGCCGCTTGTTACCGCAAAGTTACTGCAAAGCAAGGTCTAATGGTAGCCTCGCGTTTATTTCCCCATCTTCCCGTATGATTCCCGTGGAGGATGGTGTTTTTCTGATGCTCTCTTAGTAGTGAATGAGGCGATCGTGAGGAGACAGCCAAGTGTTTTCCCATACTGTGGGCCTCACTGCCAAGCGGGTAGAAGCATGAGGGCCTAGCGTTTATCGAAGTAATGAAGAGGCCTTCTTTTGTGTGCGTTTCTTTCAGTGGCACATCTAAACATGGGCCTTGTCCTCGGCATCATGGGAAGGAAAGACGAAGCTGTTGATGTGAGTCTGATTAAGACGCATTTGTTCAACTGCCCCCTTAACTGGTCTACCAAAAAAAGTGAATTAGAACTAGTGGAATGCTAGGCAGTCTGTCGAGTGAAATAGCCCACGCTTTTAGGGAAGGCCCATGTCTTTTTGCTGGGCATGCGTAGCCACGATTATTGGGATTGACAAAATGCTTCTGGAGAATCGTGAGGCACAGAAAACAATGCGGCCCAAACGCGTAACCTGTGCAGAAACATGGAGTACCTTGAAACATGCTGCCCATTTCCGCTGCTCATGCGACTTTCTTTAAACTAAACTACATATTGGGCCTCGTTGGTTCCTGGACGTGCTCTTTAAATCGCAAAGCAGGCGCACAAGATGTGCAGTGATTTTTGTTTAGTTGTACGCAAAATGGGGAGCGCTAAATAATATTTCTGCTCAATGAGTTCATTGCTAATAAACCATTGTTTAAAAAAAAGCTTTACAAGCATAAATGCGTCGTCCACAAGGTGCCATGATATACCCGTGATTCAATCAGTGGGAAACTTTGGATTTAGAAAATCAACAGTTTGCACTGCATACCACATTGCGGTGCTGCATCCCCCAATGCCCGAGGTCTATGGATGAAACTGACATTGTACCCTGGTATATCGTGTCATAAACCATAATGTTTACATATGTCGCTGGAAACTGCAGAAACGTAGACATGACTTTTTTTTTTAGATTGACAATTGTTTTAGGCAAAAACACATAGAATTAAAAAAAAAAAAATTTCCATGGTGGTGTGGATATCAGGCGTGGTAATGAGCAAACTCGGACTGATTACATTTTCTAAATATATTCCTTAGCCAGCATATTTCCATCAAAGATTTGTATCCACTCATTAAAATTTGTCGTTTCCCTTCTCTATCAAGAGCGTAAATTTTGTTACACGCGATTCAGTAGCGAATTTAAGTTATCACAGGATCCAGACGCCTTTAAACAGTATGCCACTCGCTTGTGTAGTTTTTTGCACAGGATGTGTGGAAAGACCGTGCGTTGAAGCCCTGAAATGACTGCTGTTCCTTGCGCAGGTGTACCGGCACTGCGCCCAGTTGGACAGCGCGGGTCTCAAGGATCCCAAGACTCACGAGAGCACCAAGATCTCGGCTCTCTTCAACCTTGGTAGGCTCTACGCCGACGAGGGAAAGTACAAGGTACTATCGATCTGCCATTTCGGAAACATATTTTGATTTTCACGGACTAAGCTGCGTAAGGAGATGGAGAAAAATGCATTTCAGCATGACTGAGGCATCTACTGTCCGTAGTTTGCACTTTGCGGTAGGAAGGTTAGATTTTGAAATCGAAAGCGCGTGTCGGGGTGGTTAATTTGACTTGTCCCTAAAAGGCATATATTACAGCCCTATATATTTATCCAATGAACAAAACCAATTTTTAAAGTTTTCTTAGAATTTCTTCACAAAACTCGTGAAGCGATTTTAATGAATAGGTGAAGTAGAAACACTCGCAATAATTTTCTTGTAAATGTATGACACACGGTCTATTGTTTTACTTAAACTAAACTGTACTGGCATATCTCATGCCATAAATTAAAAAAAAAAATTTCATACATCACATTCTTTATTTTTTGGTGACATATTACGAGCCTTAGGATTTCTTATACATTTTGATTATTAAGTACTATAAGCCTGTAGGCCTATACATATGCTATCGACTTTTACCACTTTAGTTTACTTTATTTTCGCAAAATAATTTTTATGCACCTTTAAATTATACCAAAAATTAAAATTCGACATTATCTGAGCCTGGGTTATTAAAAAAAGCATTTTTTTTTTCTTGTTGTTTCTACTGTTTCCAGTGATGTCAACTTTTAGTGTGTAGAATCAGAATTCCTCGTTTTTTTATTGCACTTCCTGTAGAAGTACTTAAGATGGTGGGTTAAATGAACCCGAATCGTCAAAAGAGTAGTTTCGCAAGTTGACTTTACTGCGAGATTTTAGCCTTAAAATAGTAACAGCAGGGGGGTAGGACGTACTTGTGAGGTGAAGGGCAACGGAGTGAGTGAGCTAAAATATTTATTTATTTTTATCAAAGAATCACCTGCCTTGGCCAAGCTATCCTGAGGCGTCAATACTAGATCAGGTGATTGGTGCGACGTCTTACGTAATTTACCACTAAATCGAGGATAGTGTTCCTGTATCCTGATGAGCCCTTGGTTGAACACACTCGTCAAGCGTCCTCGGGCTATCATCTTTCTGAAAATGATGGTGCCCTCTTTGGGAAAAACTTGTCGGCCCATACCGCTCTACTGTTCTGACGTTTCTGTCGATGCATGCTTTTTAAAAGACAAATAAGAACACGAACGAAGCACTCACTATACATCACTACCACTATCCATATACAAAAATGTCTGCCTGTTCGCCCTTTGTGAGAAGTTGTATATAACTCTAAATCTATTAATTTCATAGTTTATAAAAGAAGAAAGTACACGTAAAGTATATGTTCCGTCGAGACTCAAACAGTACTCATCACAGGTAATCAAATTGCTCGTAATTGATTGCTTTTTGGAATAATCTTGCAATCATGTAAACATGTATATTGCGAAGTAATCGCGAGAGTAATCTGTTTACCTTTGGAACCACTTAAATTACTTGGAACACTTACTATTTCCTCTCCCTTTCCTGATGATGCCCTTTGTTTGCACAAGTTTCCTACCAAGGAATTTCGGAACCAAGTCTCCGACATCAGTATGGTTTACCAAAATTGGTGGATTGAAAACATGAGTAGTTCTATAGTTAGGTGATTCTAATCAAATAATGGACAGTACAAAGGAGCCGTTTTCAAACGGGCAATAAACAAATATTTCGCTTTGAAAGTCTGAAGTAATCGGAAAAGTTAAGGTCCCATTTTCAAGTAGCCGCCGATTACTTTTCTTCTCAGATAATCAGGTATTCTAATCGAACACTTTTTAACCGAGGATAATTGTAATTGTAATCGATGAATTTTTTTTTCTGTAATGTGTACAAGACTGGTCCTGTAGGCTGAAGATACATTTTCAGTATCTTGCTTGTGATTTGATATATTTTAAATACTCTTTTATTGAACAGAAAGTTAGGGCGCAAACGCGCTGGTGGTAGTTCAACATATAGTAAGAAAAACCTCGACTCCCGGGTTGTTTTAAAGCGCAGCTCTTAGGCGCTCGTTTCCGGCTTGTCAGGTGTATCGCATTCGCCGTCGGCGTAACCCCGCGTTGCATTATGGGACGTTTCGCATAATGACGTCTTGCGTGATGTCACGTGTGACGTCACAAAAGAGAAGGAGGCGGAGGATATTTTTCCGCTAAATTTAGCGAAAAAATCCCCCGTTAAATTTAGTGGCAAAATGTCTCCGCCAAATTTAGTGGAAACATTTCCCCGCTAAATTTACCATAAAAATTTCCCCACTAAATTTACCATAAAAATTTCCCCACTAAATTCTGCAAAAAAAAACTTCCTCGCTAAATTTAGCGGGAAAATTTCACGCTAAACTTAGCGTGGATTTTTTTCCGCTGAAGTTAGCGGGAAATGCAGCGAAAAGTTCCTGCTAAATGAGAGAAGAGCAGGAGAGAAGGGGGAGGAAGGCCATATCCTCCCTTCCGTACCCTCCCCTCCACTTCAAGAGCTGCCCTCTAATTCGGCGTTAAAAAGAGTCGTAAACATCTTTCATTTTTCTTACTATGTTGACGTCTAGTGTTTACCTCGTTATTAGGGGTTTGCTGCACACGAGAAATTGTTTGGCAACTGAGATCTACACCGAAATTATATCAGCAGTATACTATTAGTTGACAAAATATACATCAAGTATACCTTCCAAAGTGCCTTATAAGAATATACAAGGGCACTGAGTGGGTAGAGGGTATTTTGTGCAAAAAAGAAACCAGTTAAAAGATAACGTTCCAATGGATGTATGAGCGTTTTAAAAAGTAAATATCGTATATAATTTTAGACGGCAGGAAGCTATAGTCTACTCCCAGGGGCGTCTGATATCTCTGCTGTAGATGAGAAATTCAGCCAGTGCAGTACGACCGTTGACCTCTTGTCTGGGAGACGGTGGAAGAACAGTCTGGTGTCTCAACAAGACCTGCCAAAGTGGACAAGCTTTGCTTGCGCTTTGCGCACCTCTCGGCAGGTGCACCGTCTGTTTGGGGTCATCGCGCAGGCGCGGTCGCGGGCCGCGCGGTCTTCGAACGTGTGCACGAATAGGGACGGCTTCTCGAGTAGCTCTCGTAGGCTTCCTGCTACCCTAGACGTAGTGCGCCATCTCATGCCGCTTGGCGGAAATGCGAGCAAACTTTCGACGCAAATTTTTTCATGACGAAATGTTTTTTTTTTGTTTTTTTTTTTGTTTTTGGCAAAACATTGCTTCTTGTTACTTTCCTCTAAAGAAAGGGAACGTGAAGCATGACATTTGGTTGATGTTCATGGAAACAGGCACCATTATCTAATCCAAGGCTGATCTTGATGTGACATACGCTCACATATCAACGCACACAGCCCCATGTTTGACAGAATTTTGATTCCATATATTGGCGATGGTTACAAGAAGAGGCCTCTGCATTACGCGATTAGCGATGCCCACTCACTTTAACACGCACGCAAACGTTACGAGAGTATTGTGACACTGATATGTGGTAAACACGAGTTTTTTTGTTTTGTTTTTCTGCTCCAGGAGGCTATTCGAGTTTACCAAGAAGCGGTCGCCAAGATGCCGGACCACTATCAACCCCAGTCCCTGTACAATATGATGGGTAAGCAGAAGGATACCCCTGGCCTTTCTCCTTGAGCTCCAAGCGTTTTTGATAGAGAGGCCTGTGCACACTACTCCGGTTTGTCTTTTACCCGAAAACAAGTTTTAGGTCTACCGATTGTTTACGTTTTCGTTTCTCTCAACCTATACCCCCGTTCGATTTATATTTAGGCACTAAGCGGCTGCAAATAAATGGGGGAGAAGGGAGGGGGCCCCCCTCCCTTTTGGAGCTAGAAACAACTTTTTCTATTGGCTTTAAAGGTTTCCAATCAATCACCACTGTCCTACGAATGGCGTTTAATTCTACAACGCTCGCCTACCTCTGAGGCCACGTAGGTTACTTATAAACATGTTTGGACGGGTGTGGCCGAACTTATAGTTCAAATGAATAACCGGCAAGTTCACTGCTGAAATTGGCCGCCAGGAGGGAAGTTAGCTATAGATCGCTAAATTCCCTCGTGGCAGGGATCCGCGAAGTATTTTGTTTATGAAGCTACTTTCGTTCTGTCTTGCCACCCGCTATGCAGTCATTTTTTTTTGTGTGTGTGACAATTTTCGTTTAAGAATAACAGTTCAGACCAACAAGCAAGAAGTAAGATCAAGCTACATAGCAATCCCATTCTTTATCATAAGCTCTTTAGGTGTGCCAATAAATTGCATCTAAGATAAGCTAATGAGCGCCACTCGATTTCAGGTGAAGCCTACTTCAAGCTCGGCGAGTACACAGAGGCTGAACGCTGGTACAAAGAGGCGCTTCGAGCCAAGAATGACCACATTCCAGCGCACCTTACGTACGCCAAGCTTCTCTCCAAGTGGGTGAGTTCCAAATGCCAATACTATGTCTGCGGCGAAGATACGCAGGCAAGCTTGCCACAGGAACACAGATAGGTTAAGCAAGCTTCCGGCACATGTTGAAGCTCCCACTTAAAAACAAAACATTAGACGTTGCAGGACAGCTTGGAGTGATACTAAAGTCTAACAATCCGTTCAGCTCGAGCGTTGCTGTGACCTTACCAGAAATGAACTGATGTAAAATGCAAGCATAACCAATATGCTAAAAAAAAAAAGAAACGCACCGCTTTTGACTGGCGTGGCAGAAAGCGCTGTGCTTTCTGCTTCCGGTGCATTCCAGCGATAATCCTCCCTTCTTAAACTTGAGCAGAAATGTGACCACCTTTGTCGGAAAGACACACGAAGTGACCACCGCGCAAGCAGCACCGCCGGTCTACTTTACTTGCGTTCTATTTAGGGCTGTGATCAGACAGCAGCCATCTTAAATTTCTTGTAATATATTTAAACGAAGATGCTTCCGAGCCTGTCGATTCCTTACTGTTATGCAGTAGCCTTGGTAGTAATTTTATAAAACATATATCACAAAAAATAAAACCTGCTTATCTGTTTTCGTCTTTATGAATTATGTTGTAGTTGACATCGTTCCTGAAACGAGCTTCGTGAGCACCCGCGAGCTCGGGACACGCGATCCCCGGGGCTGAGACGATCGAAACCGGCTCCAACGTCGGCTGGCTCTCTGGTTCGGCACCATTCACGAATGATGTGCTTATGGGCTGGACGTCATGCAAAAACCGTTACACGTAGGCTAAGGCAACATAAAGCTCGCACAGCCCATTTCAGACGATTGCATCCGAAGACAAGGTTCTCTTAGTCATAACCAATCGAACGTACTCATACCCGTAATACACTGTAACAAGCTAAATTTACCTAGCGGCTCGGTTGGAGTTGAACCACGGACCGTGCCAGCCGCAGACCGACGCCCTTGCTCGGCGCCATAAGGAGGAGGTGAAAGAGAGCGAAGGCAGCAGGAGCATGTATGACTCAGGGGAGCCTGCTGGCAACAGGCGACCGTCGGCACGCGCAGCTAGCTCCTGAAAGGTGAAGGGCAACTGCCCACGTGATCACCCGACATTAGGGCGCAGATTAATTTATAACCCACCAACCGAAGCGGACTTGTGGCGTCAATACCGCTTCAAGAGACAATAGGGAGATTTCGTAAGCCGCGATTCCCTCTCCGCTAAGCTCTCCGCAACGAACAAGCCACTACTGCGCTTGCGCGCCGATGGCTTTGACTGTAGAGTTATGGGTATCGTAGCAGGGTGCGAAGAGCGTTGCGGGATGGCGAAAACGATCTAGGAAAACTCGCTATCGTCGCTAGCGGCTCACCAAGAGTAAGCGAAATCCACGGCAACGTGGCTGGGGCCGAGCGATAGCGTTGAAGTGGTCGGTTTTTGGACGATCCCGCTGGCTCTAGCGACATTAGGGAGTTATCGTAGACCGTTATCGCCGTCCCACAACGCCCTCCGCAACCCGCCCCGATACCGGGAACCCTACAGTCAAGGCCATCGGCGCGCAGGCGCAGTAGCGGCTTCTTCATTACGGAGGGCTTAGCGGAGGGGGAAACACGCTCTACGAATGCTCCTTAATGATCCCAAACGGTGAGATGACGACGGCGGTTTTGACGCGTGCGACGGCGGTAACGGCGGGCCCACGGCGAAACGGCCGGACGGCTCCCAAGAAGCACGCTGCGCAGGCGTGTTCACGTCGACACCGCTGTGCGCCTAGAGGAAACGTTGCTGACGTCACCCGTTACGCTTGCCCGGAGAAGTAAAGACGGGAAAAAAGTGGCGTTTTTCTTCAAGTTGGCTACGCCCACGCCGTAGCCTTGACTGCGCTGTTGGTTGCGCTTCAATTCGCCCGCTCGAGTCAGCCGATTTCGGCAACTTGGCGAGTTGCAAAGTTTGCCGGACAGTTTAAGAGATATTAAGACAGAACGAAGTCCAACAAGGAAAAAGGTGATACTAAAGACGACTGCATTGTTTTTTTTTTTTCATAAACAAAAATAAAGCTGAGTTGCCCTTTAAATATTGACTTAAAAAACTTTATTCTGTTAAAGTTTTTTTTTTGTTCTTTTAATGCGTGTCCTATCTATGCACTTAAAATGCTCTCGACAGTTATGTGTTCCTCTAATCGAATAGTACAAATGCATTCTCCCTTAAGTCCGGTTATAACAATGGAGTGTGTTACTGTACGCGCGCATGTATGACCTGAAAAAGTAGCAAGAAAATGGAGGAACGCTCTTTTTAGGCGTTTAGATGAGTAGAGAAGTATTTTTTAATAGGGAACCTTTTTAATTTGTTTATTACTGATTTCACACCATATTGGCATATCGGAGAGGCAGCATGCATCGAGTTATCAACTAGAGACTGCCCAATACAGAGTGGATGAGTAAGCATACACAACTCAAAATGGCCATGAAATGAATTTTCGGGTGGGATAAATGATTTTAGATTGGTATTTGACTACATGTTTCATGTCATGCTTAAACAAACACGGTAGAAACTGGGAGTCATTGCATTTGATGAAATACTACGTCACGACCACGTGATTTTTCATTTCGCTGTTGATTTGAGGAGGAAAGCTAAGGAGGAAGTTCAAAAATAATTAAATGTCACCTTTAATGCTCGAATTTCCAGCAGCAGAAAACTGCTTCAAATGCACATTTACGTTCCTAGATTGGTTGCCGAGATTTCGTATTTCGTACAAAAATAAACCGTCCGTGCGTCTAACCACGACACCGCAATTTCAGAACCGGCCGTCCGAAGCGGAGCAGTGGTTTCTCCGTGCTAAAGGCTTGGCCCCCAACGACTCCAGCGTTTATCAGCATTACGGTACGTAAAAGTCGCCTTTGAATCAGCTGTATACACACGGAACTGAATTTCCTATTGGGTGCTCCAGGTACATACTAGGGGCTCTAATCTGGACACTTGGGGGAAAAGTCGGCGAGGGATTTGACCACCGTGATTGACCGCCGCCAAGGTCAAGTACGGCGGCGGCCAGTCACGGCCGCCGGGTTCCTCGCCGACTCTTTCGCCAAGTGTCCAGACCAGAGACCCTGCTCGCAGCCCCTGAGCTGCTTCGACTGCGAACGCAGGACGCGTTCTGATGTCAGAACAAAACGGAAATGTAATCTCGACGGGGTGTGGAAGAACCTATCCTGACGCCTTTCACCCCTTGCTAATCGTTTACTATCGCGGAGAATTGCGGATATTTCGTCCTTTGAGTGTACTCGAGCTATTGCAAAGGTGTTGAGCTCGTGCTGATTTCTCCGCCGGGTTTGGGCTGTGGTCTCGCGCGTTTGGTTTATTTGTCTACTTAATATTTTCACAGGTCTGACTCAACTTCTGTTCCCACGGACGCTGTAAATTATACGGTTATCACTAGAACACTGTAAGCACTTCGAGAGAGAGAGAGAGAAGGCTTGAAAAAAGAGGATACTGGCGCACCTGATGCAATGGTGCACTTCCCTTGCGATTGTGATAGAAGGAACCTTTCTTTCACAAAAAAACACTTCTTGTCGTAGATACGCGTGTCCAATTGACACTAATGTCCTTGTTATCTCTGTTCTATTTGCGCGACAGTTAGTTGTAAATCGGACAAGTGATTCTTTTTCACGTGAAGGTGTTTAACGGTTAGTGTGACAAGGAGCGGCCAGTGGCGCCGCGCACGGCGCGAAAGAGAAATACAACATATCTCTCGTCGCTTTATGCAAGTCCGACAATGAAGCACAGTCCTACATGACATGGATTACCAGCCGATTTTTCCATTTTGCTTTCTTCTAGTTGTTAAAAATGTAGACGTTTCTCTCAGGTGTGTACGTGTCAGTGAACAGCTGCCTAGAAGCTTCGATCTCACTTAAAGGCCCGATCCTTACCAATTTTCCGCAAAACATGAAAATAATGTTGACAACCGCATGAAACATTTGTTGGAATTACATGTATACATTTATCTATTTCACAAAAGTTGCGCAAATGTTCTGTACCAATTTATTTGAATTGAAAAAAATATATTGCTACCGAATGCACTAGATTGATTTTATTCGTTTTCTGATTGGCAGGTCAATTCTTGTCTGAGTCAGACAGGCACACAGAAGCAGCGGAGCTTTATCTGCGGGCCGCGGAGCTGGCCCCGGACGAGTACGAGATTATTTTCAACGCTGCAAACACGTTACGGTAAGCCTTGAGTTTGTGTGCTCTTTTCTCTCAACAAAGCCTGCCCTCCTTCATAGATAGATATTAGCGCACACGGCAGGGGCCTGATTTTCGTCATTGCGAGAGTGCGATCGAGATCTAGCCTGCCCCTCGAGGAGCGAGCAAAAATAGCATTGACTGTTCGTTTGCCAACCCTAGCGAAGAACGCGGTTAGTCTGACAAAAAGGGCCTATGGCAGACGAAAATAAAACAAGAAAACACCTCACGTTTTCTGGTAGCAGTTCGGAAGAAAATGCTGTTCGTCTGCTACAAACCGAGCGCTGCACCGCAGTGCGATAGGACGCTGGCGGAAATAATGATCAACTGCTATCTCACGTTGGAAGGCATTCACAACCCGCGCTTCATTTGTAAACCTCAAGTCGTTCCGCTACCGTACACCAGCTCCCATCGTCCGGTGAATAAAGGGGCATTAAGCAAAAGCCCACCAGAGGCCGCGAGACATCTCTCGCTATTTGTTTCAAAGCTATTAATTCGCCTGTCAGACGGGCATTTTAAAAGCCTTTAGAACAAGCTCCTTTACAAAATCGGCGAACCAGCGCACGCCGTAGGGCAGGTGCGTACTCAACATCGCGAGCTGACTTGCTGATTATAAAACGGAGCTTAGTGAAAAGGAGCTTTAGAACGCCGCCTGACAGGGGTATTACTTTCTTAAGAGCTTCAGGCCACTTTGAGGTATGTTTCTGGCCACTTTCCCATCTAAATTTAGCGGGGAAAATGACGTCACATGACTTGATATCACGTGACCGATGCATACATCCAGTTCATTCGCTAGATTTAGAGGGGAAATTGACATGACTTGACCTCAACGCCAATTCAAAATTCAGCGGAAAAATGATGTCCCATGACTTCATGTCACGTGACCTATACACACATTCAGTTTCCCCGCTACATTTAGCGAAAAGACTGACGTCACGTGAGACGATGGTACGTGACCGATACAGATATTCAGTTTCTCCGCTAGATATAGCGGGAAAGTTGTCACGTCACCTCAACACCAGTCCAGTTTCCCGCTAAATTTAGCGGGAGAATGGCGTCACATGACTTCATGTCACGTGACCTTCGGACAAATTCAGCTTATCCCCTAAATTTAGCGGGAAAATCAACACGTGACCTGTCGCTGTTCTTTCAATTCTGTGTGAAGCTAATCAATTAATTGAACAGCAATGTAGTTAGTTCTCCCGAATTAGTTTTGTCGGACGTTCTGGACGGCTGGATGAATGCTAACGGCTGTACCCTTTATAACGGGCGGCACCTTGCGCCACCTGGCCTAGAAATTAAAACCCAAAAGTATGATTCCTCCCTTCGCCCTTGTAAGCCTATTTGCTACCCCTCTGCCATTTCTTAACTATTTTACAAAAATATTGGCCGGTTGTAAACCCGCGACCTGGTCAAAAATGTCTCACTGGTTGATTATACGCAATCTGTGATGTCACGTTCGGTCAACACCTGAGAACGCTCTCATTTTGACAAAACTGGGAGGTCACATTGCGATTCACTCGGGGGATGAACACATTTCCAATTGACTTGTAGTAATATTCGAAACCTAGTGGGATCGATGACCCTGAGAATGCATTCCACATCTAATGACAACATGCAGGGCACCAAGTGGATTTCTGGCTGTATTATATGGAACGTGTGTAGTGTAAATTCAGTTTGTGCATCCAACTCTTACGGGTCAAATAATTTGTATATTACTGTTTATAAAAAGTGAGTCAAAGAAACCAGGTTAGCAGCTCGCAGTATTGAGAGATGACAAATCGAATGTTGCTTATTTTCTTTCAGGCAAGCTGGGAGGAACGCCGAAGCAGAGGCATTCTACTACACCGCAGTCAAGTTGAGACCTCGGGTACGTTCGCAGATTATAGCTTCAAATTATGTTTGAAAGAATGGGAACTCCCTGCTTTATCAATAGTATAAACTGGAGTCACTTGAAAGCTATGCTCGAAGCCTCCGCGCTCTTACCCCCCCCCCCCCCCCCCCCCACCCCACCCCCCCTACCCCCGTCCGTTTGTGCCACATTTTATTCCCTTGCGTTCCAGTGGGTCGTGCACGTTGCAGATTTGTTGCCTAGAGTGGCACGAGCACCGTTTGCGGCGGTTGCGCTTCTGAAATGCGACTTTTTGAGCAGTATACGCGGTGTTGGGGCTTTATCGAGGTATCTGAACTGAACGCCTAAGAAGCACAGACAACAGGACAAAGAGACAACACGTTGGCGTACTCACGACTGAAAGTTTAATATCAAGAGAGGTACAGGAAGCTTTTGAAATAAAGACAAGAGGCACAAGTAAGTGTGTCGGCGAGCCAACATTGGCCCTTCTTGATAAGGAATTTGTATTTTTGCTGAAAAAGTGGGGGGCTAGGGTAATTTACATGCTGTGTCACAAACCGTCTATAAGTTTGTGTTTTCAAATTCAACGTTCAGTTGCGAGTACGCCAACGTGTTGTATCTTCTTCCTCTTGTCCTTGTTTTTGGGCGATCAGTTGAGATGGAAAACGAACGAGCCCAACTTATTATTTTGATTAAGGTATCGTTTTGCTCTCTCGTCAACTTTGCTAACACGCAGAAGACAGAAATCACATCGCGCATTATTCATAAGGCACATCGGCAAAGGCTAATTGCAGCTGGCAACCTTGATGATACGAAACAATATGGCTGATATGTCATTCCATCTCTAGCGTAACTTATTCCGTTGCTCCAGCATCAACTTTTCCCCGTTTCGTAGTTTAAAACATCCCGTGCTTGGCCTGGATCAACTCTGACTGCCGAGGCACCCTCGGACGCCCGATGTTTAAACGGGCGTCTCCAAAAGCGCGCGTGCCTCGCGGCCAAATGTTTGAAACGCTCTTCCGCCGGATGCGAGAAGGGCTCCGTCCGCCTATTGAGTCCTCCCTTGCGGATCCCCGGGGAGGTGGGGGTTTCCTGTAAAGCGTGCTCCGCCACAGGGACACTCAACCGGCGGAGAAGCGCCCCTCTCGAATATTTTTCCTAGAATCGAACACGCATCATTGTTCGGGTCGTTTGGCCGGTTCACCACGCGCAATCGATGCCGCCGTGCGGCAGATAGCGCTGGGCGTAATGTTTCCTACGTGAGCGATTCATCGACGTGAATTCTGCGCACGAGCAAGACCGAGCTTCGGCCGTTGCTTGGAACTCCCTTTGGGCGGAAGTCAGTCGAGCCTCTTCGATCGGCCCGCCCGGGTGAATAATTAAGGGCGCCCATCGTTTCCGCAGGAGGTCACCAGCCACATGAACCTGGGTGCCATGCTGCACGTGAACGGGAAGCTCCTGGAGGCCGAGTCCAGCTACCTGGAGGCCCTCCGCCTCAAGCCAGACGACCCCATCACGCAGAACAACCTGCAGAAGCTGCGCAACCTGCTGGCTCAACGGGGTCTCCGCTCCGATGGGCTCGTCAACAAGCTGTAGCCACCAGCGTCGTGGAACGTCTGAAACCGAAACCACCGAGCTAGTGCCGCCGGAACCGGAAACGCTGTCCGGCTTTGCTTCCCCGCACTTGCGCGGACCCCACGGAGTGACCCGCCGCCGCGCCGCTGGTGGCGCCATCTAACGACTCACTCGCGGACATGCCCCGAAAGCGTATCCGAGCGCGGGATCTTCGCCGTGCAGCTGTGCCCCACTCGCGAACTGACAATGAGAACGCTTCGGAGCGCAAAGCCTAGTCAGTGTTGGAGCTGCAATCTCCGTGCGGTGGCAGACCGATTGAGTACCTTCGGCCTGTTTCCTTTTGGCCTCGGCACAAGTCTGAGTCACGTGGGGTCTCCTCGGGGTGCTCACAAATACTCCCGCCCTAAAGGCCGGGGCGCGTTCTTTCGAAGCCGCCGGTGGCTCCGAAGAACTAGCCTTCACGCAGTGTGTACGGAAATTGTGAGCTCACGCGACGTTTTCGGTCCAACAGAGTGTCGACTCACTAACGCTACGTGGGAGTGGAACGAACGAACACAGCCCGCATCTCACCGGTCTAGCTTGCCGTGCCGACGCACCTCTCGCAATATCGCACAAAACTATAGTCGAGTGCGGTCCTCGGCTATGCTCGCTCCGAGCGTAACCGAAAAAGAGACCGCGTTCTTTTTTTTGAATTTCGTTTCTCGCTTTTCCGCTTTCAGTTCGTCTCCCTCCACGAGCATGACGTCTAGTCAGAAGTGCCGACGACATAGCACGACTTCCACGAGTATTTCTCGTCCCTTCGGTGATCCCAAAGCCCGTGGACGCGCCGGACAACTGTAGCTGCGAATAGGAGAAGACGGACGAGAGAAGATGAAATCTATATTGAGTTGTTGTGATACACGCCTCGGTTGCTTTTCGCATAGCTCTCTCGACCAAACTCTGGCTTCCACCACCACTCGAGCGGAGCGTCGCACTCCGCCGCCCCGCCGGCGTTCCCTCCCTTCTATTTTTCGTCGAGGGAGGGACGGCCCGCTTTCCGAGGCGCCAAATGCCGCCGCCCCAGTTGCGTGTCTCCCCTCCCTAGCCGCCGCTCGAGCTCCAGGGAGCGTTCTTTGTGATATGTGACCACTTGGATTCTAGTTTTCTAAGCAAGATAGTAGCTGCTTTGCGTTGCGGGCATCGAGCTAGCTTCCCTGCGCCGACGGCCGAGGACGAGTCGGCTCCCCCCTCCTCGAGCGTCTCCCGAGGGCCCGCACGTCCGTCGCGGCTCCGTGGCAGCCGGAATGTCGGCGGGGAGCTCCGAGTCGGCCGCAGTGTCACGTTGCGTGTACCAGGTTCTCGGCCCAACCCGGAACGCGATTGTTCGTGCCTGGTTCTTCGTAGCGTATACTTCTCGTCATCGGCGGCACATTTCCGCGTTGCATTTTCATTTGTTACATGAGCCGCACTCCGGTAATCGTTTCCATTTTCTAGCGCCAACGTGAAAGCCATTGAAATCGGCGGGAAATGAACAGCGAACAGAAATAACAGTTGATGACACACTTTAGGGTCTTTGAAAATCTCAAATCGGAAAAAAAATCTGGAAACAATTCAGTTCTTAGGATTCCCATACTCCTCCAAGTCTCCCTCTTTCAGATATACAAAAAAGAAAGAGACACAGAGGTAAAAACACTTCTAAATGTGATTTCAATTGTGTACGTTCTGTTGGGTTTTTATTTTTGCCGCGTGCTGCAACAGATAGCAATCGTTCGGTCGCCACAGTCCAGTTTCTTGAGATCTTCAGTTACGTCCACGCTCGACACGCGCTAATTCGGCCGAGTCAGAAGAATGAACTCTTCACTTTCTTCAAACGATAACCGATGATTGTAACCTACCCATATCGCGGTGTTTTTTGGTCAAAAATAAGCCCCCGCGCGCACGCACACACTCGCGCATAAACGAATTTGTGGAACGGCGCTCAGTCACAATCAGCGGGGAAAGTGGAGCGAAAAGCCGATCGACGTGCGGGCCTCCTAACGTCGGGCGTCAGCAGCGAGACCTTTTGGGCATTCTAAGACGCAACACAACGTCGTTTCCTTTTTTTTCTTCTTTTTTTTTTTTTATGGCCGCACAAGTTGGCTCATTTTGGGAGCGACGTCGGGCGTGGCCCGGCCACGCGCGAGCATTGCCTATACCTGTTGTGTACATAGCAAAGTCTTCGCACCTTGGAGTGGATGAAATCAGGCGCGTCTCCGCCTGTACGACGACGCGGGGACGCCGAATGTTTTTGGTCGCACGAATTCCGCGTTCTTTTCCTTTTTTCGTCAGGAGGCTTCTTTGAGCGGGCGACCGCGCCTGTCGTGCCTCTCCCGTCGAGGCGCCTGTTTAACTTATTTCTATTTATTGCCGTCGTCTTCGGTTAGGGTGGTACCCGACGGAAGAGTTTCGGCGGTGAACCCAGCTGTCGGTCCCTGGCGCGAGTCGACCTTGACCGGGCGACTTCGGAGACGGAGCGAAGGAAGTGTGCGCTGGAGATCGTGCATGAATTTTGAGATGTGCTCTGTCGGGAAATGTGTATACGCGAGATTGAAAGTGACAAAAAAAAAATATCTAGGCTTTCCTAAAATTCTGTACAATACATTACAATATTTACAAATAAATTTTTGAATCTACGTTTTATGGCGTATTTGTCGACTCTGGGCTGCGTGGATTGAGGTAAGCTATGCGCCGCTTGCTTGTTCGCTCTTAGGAAGTTCGAAATGCCTGTGGAACAGTGTCCTTGACCGCGCTGTGGGGCTCGTATGCCTGAGGTTTTGCCGAGTTCCCAGTGAGTCGCTAATACACGATGAGCGCGAAGCATGGGGATCTGTACATATATGAAAAGGAATCGGCAGAAATATTTTGATCTATCTATCAAACCGTCATGTGCACAACTACCACGCCTGAGAAATAATCAGTTTTCATTACGTATGTTTTATTTTTTTATTAGCGTGCTGCGATTAATCACGTGACATCAGGTCGTATGGCCTCACGGTAGCGTCATGGTGTTAAGTCACGTGGGGCAGCGTTACCCGACCTGACGCTGCGATGTCACGTGACGTCACGTTACAGCCGGACTTGACGACCTGGCGTCACCTGAGACACGAATTTTCACCGGGAGCTGCATGACGTGCTACAGGCAAGCGCGAAATCTGACTAATCTTCCGTACGAATGGGATTCTGCATTACAAGGTCCAAATTATAGCAGGAAGTATCTCTTGTGACATGACGTGCGAAGCTTACCCCGTTGACGGGCAATTCGGCTAGTGCAGACCCGGCAGTAGAATAAGGTTTATAACGAGTATCCGGCAGCAGGGATTACAAGACAGCACGCCGTTGCTGCGTTTGCCTCTATATAGAAACCGACAGTGGCGCATTCCGTAACGTTCGGTTTATGTGCTCCTAGCTACGGTGCTCTAGAACCAAACTGTTGACCGGAAACAAATCGTTCTTACCTAAACCGGTTCTGAACAAAACAAAGCAGAAAAATGGGCCGAAATCGCTGTGGCCGCCACGCTGATTCTCGTAAAAACGCGCTAGCCTTCCGCGTAACGGTTATATATAACGAAGCATGATGAATGCAGCCACTCGGGACATTTCCTCGGGGCGAACATTCCCGAAATCTGTCTTCTCATTAGTCCAAGCAGATCAGGTCACTTCGCGTGTGTATGAGAGACGGCGGCCGCACAGGCGTGGCTGGTTATAGAGAGCTACGGCGTGATGTAACACCTGTAGCTACCAAGATGCAGTGGGGGACAGCGAGGTTAGGGCGTACTTGGGCCGCCAGCGTGCGCCGCGAGGCGGCGCGTACGGGTAGGCCAAGGTGGGTTCCTATTTTCTAATAAACCATCAGCAGGATGGGTTAACACGCGCCCCACTGATGCACCCTCCGTGTCCCGCTGCGCGGCGCCGAAAGTGGCGAAAGGGGACGTCACCGGCGATCTTCGGTTGCTAGGTGTTGCGTCACGGGGCGGTGGTGGGGTCACGGACTATACACAAACCACGTTACTAGATTACCTCAGTAGTGGAACTCCGGCGGAAGGGGGTACCCCCCCCTTCACTCACTTCAGTCCGCATCCCGTCGTTTAAAGCGCCATCTTGATTTTCGTTTCATAACTGTGCTTTCCATAGAGTACGGTGTAACGCCATCTAGACGCTGTGCTTCAAAACGTGTGTATTCCATAGAATACACTACAGTTATCGTAGCAGCCGTCCGGCGTGTCGAGCGACGGGAGGCGAGACGTGATGAGTGAGGGGGTACTGCCCGTGCGAGCAGCGTCTATGAGCAGTTCCGTAACTGAGCTAATCTAATAACGTTGACACAAACTCAGCTTTGTTACGTCACGGCGAGGTGGTGGCGCGTCGGACGCATTTCCGGTCTGGGACTGTGGGCAGAAGTCACCATACAATACGTGCATTTCTGTATTTTTTTTTTTAACAGAAAAAAATGCTTTCTTGTTAAAATAGCGCGACTGGAGAAGTACCAAGAGAGTTGGGAAAGTTTTGAAGGTCACTTTGTATGGGTTTTCTGCCTAGTAGGTTCGTTCGAGAACGTGGATAGGTGGCCTTGAGAAAGGAAAACCAGACGCCGTCGGATCACGATTGCTTGTGCGGGCAGCACTTTGGGTTTAATTCACGAATACTTGTGGTCGTCAGATTTTCTTTTTTTCAATATGAACGCGGAAAAACCGCCAAGTTGTACGGACCACCTGCGGACCACGTTCAGTGCGTCTTCAAGTTTAAAGTGGCCGTCTGATGGTTCGAACTGTCGTCTGCTCTTTCAAACGTTTCTGCTTGTCGTCTGCTCATTCAAACGACAGGACCCGTAGACCAAACGTTGACCCGGTAATTACGATAAGAAAAAAGTGCAGGCCTCCAAATACTTTTAAGCTTGAAGGTTGATGGGGTAAGTAGGCTCGGTGTAAACAGTAGACACAAGGAGATGCTGATAATGAGGAGAGCAGGTCGTCTGTATCTTGCGCAGGGGCTGCGGTGACGTCAGAACGACGTCGAGTTCTGATTGGCTTCGATGGCAAGGATAGTGGGTATACATGAATGATAGATGCTTTGAGGTTTACCTATTATTTTCTTTTCAATCATCCAATAAGAGCTCGGCGTTCTGACATCATCCCAAACCATGTACAAGGAGCAGACGAACTTGCGCTCTGCGTTGTTACCAGTGGCCATCACCGACTTGCTATGCCTGGTTCACTTGGTTCGATTGTGCTTGCGATTTTCAATATCGACGAAGACCATCTCAGCTACGGTTCACGCTTTTGCAGCCCGAGCAACGTCATGACTGAAAATAGCAAGGAGAATCTCATCATGCGAATCAGGCTTTAGCGTCCACTCTGCGGCGTCCACGCGGAATAAATCGCCGCATGCCACATTATTCACGCGAAGTTTTGGGGTGTAACGTGCTTCGTTCATTTCGCTGAGGCCGCTAAACTAGACAATCATTGCCAGGAAGACGTGGAATCAACCATTTCAACGTGGAAAAGGGCCCGGAGACTCACACCGACGCAGACAACATCGTATTCCAATGGTTTGTTTATGGGCGACAGCGAACTTCTTGTCCACACTCCATGGCGCATGCGCGGCGACCACTAGGGGCGCTTCGCTTTGTTTGTAAACAAGAGTTTGTCTCCGTATAGACGTTTTTCGTTTCCGTTTGCTGTCAATCACGTGGGTCCCATATCTGGTATCTTGGACGACAAAAATAAATTTATTTCAACCTGAAATATGCGAGAATATATAGGTGAAGCAAAACGTGACAATCGCGCAATTTTCGTGAGCAACTTCCAGCGGCGTGTAGAGAATAAAACTATGTTTTAACGCCTACCAGAAGTGACGACATTCAAGATGGCTACGCACTGGTTGAAAAGGTGTATAAAGTATAACCAGCCAATCTAGTGCGGCCTGCTCGCAGAAGATATTTTTCTAGCCAGTTTCCATAGCCAGTGCGGCTGTGGCGCCATCCCGTGGCGAAGGTGCGAACTCTACATACCTGTACTCCAAGCTAGTCCAAGGTCAGCGCATATACAAGGGCAATAATGCAAACGCATTATTAAATATTTGTCGTCATATAACTAAACTGTAACTCAGCCGGAAAAAAAAAAAACCTAATGTTGAACGGTTCACAAATGACTCAGCCCGCTCTTATTTGTTTGTAATAAAACGAACTGAGCATTTGACCACGAAAAGCGAGATATGACTTAGATACAGTAGACGATATCCGAAACTGCTGGGTGGCCTGGTAGCACGGTGCACGCGGCCATCTTGGTAGCGTCAAGTATCTTGAGTTATGGTTTCTCAGCATTTTCAGGTCATGAACGTTCTGCCACTGAGTGCGATTCGGAAACTTGATTGTTTTCTGACTTTCGATCACCCAACTTGGACAAAGGACTAAGCCGTCATATCATTTATCTCCGAGTACGCTTTTAGTTTGTTTTTCGATGCGAATACGCATGAAGTCGTACTGTTTAGCTCTAGACAGCTCCACGATCGTACATGCGACTCAAGGTTAGCTTTTTTTTTTTAGAAGATTTTTTTTTAAGTTTTTTTTTAATGAAACTGTGGCCTGGGCAATACTTTTCAGGTGTTGCAGGATGCACAAATTGGTTTCAGATAGCATTCATTTCAAGCGCAGTTGACGGATGTTACGCTGTTAAAGAAGATTTGTTCAACCCTGTCAGAATAACTGTATCGACTTTCTCCAAACTACACCCCGACCTTCTTTGCACTAAACAAAACTTTTGCATCGGCTGCGACAAAAAGGAAAAATAAAAGAAAATGAGATTGTAAAATGAAGTTGGTACCGCCCGTGTTGCTCCATTCGACGTCCGCAACGTAAGTTTTCGCCACCGCCGACATCGGGGTTTTAGCCACTGCGATGAACCTAAGTTGAACGCCACGTTCGATGTAATCGAACGTGGCGTTCGACAAAAAAGACAACAAATTTCCGTTTTTGTGAGTGTTGAGCAAACAGACACGTCGTCCGTGTTCGTTGTGTTTTCTAATCTACATGATCGCACTTTAAATATTCAACAATACTATATCAACCAACTCTCCTGTTTAGTTTTAGAGGGGTTTTACAAACCTCGTTTACCGACGCCAGTACAAGTGTATAGAAATCACTGCAAATCAATGAGATTGTTTTCTGGCTTTCCAGAGAAATTATTCTTTTTAATATTGCCACGAATGACGAGCTCACGACCAAGGAATAACTGAGGAAACTGAAACGTTTTGGGGGCACAAGTTCGCCCCATTAAACATTTCAGTTTCCTCGGTTACTTCTTGTTCATCACCTTGTCATTCGTCACATTTTGGTGGAGGTGCGGGGTATCGCATTCTATGCCTGTGGACCGTACCCCTCCGAAGGCACGCCGGGCAAGTGACGTGCTCAGCCCCGGAAGGCTGCCCTTCGCAGAACACTCCAACGCGCGAGCAAGCCGCCGTACTAAAGGCCAACTCCCCGAATTTGGATTCCTGCCACAGAAGCCGTAAGAAGAAGACCGCGACGATGACTACCCCGCACCTCCACCAAAATGTCACGAATGACAAGGTGACGAACAAGGAATAACTGAGGATACTGAAACGTTTGATGGGGCGAATTTGTGCCTAAAAAAAAACGAAAC